CGAACAGAAAACGGCCTCCTATTGCTATGAATCTTCATATGCTCATTCAGATAATCTGCACGAGTGAAATTCATTGTGCATTCCGAACAGGATAACGGTCTCTTACCGGTATGAATATGTCTACGCAGATTCCCTGATGTGGTAAAATTTGCCGCGCAATTATGGCAAGAGAACGGCCTCTTACCGGTATGAATCTTCATATATGAACTCGGATGGCGCAACGAAATCTTCCTTGGATATTTCGGATTTGAACCGTTTCTCATCTATGTGAATCGCATGCTCTGGATGTTTCCGTTTGATTGTTTGGATGTTGGATATTTCATGTTGATAGTTCTTAAGCCAGATTTTCTTGGGATTTATTCCTACACTTGTTTGCTTTCTATTAACTTCTTGAATTGGTGGGTTCAAGGAGCTTGCGCCATTTTGACCATTTTCACAGAGTTCTAATTGTTGCCCACTCACTTCTGGCGCTGATAGATATAATGGTCCACCCGTCTCTCGGCCATTCTTAACATTGATAAATCGAACGGTTCTGTTTGCGGCTCCTTAAATTTTTATGAAATTAAGTTGCGCGGAAATTTTGAAATCTTAGAAATATTGCAGCACCATCTTCTGTTCCTTAATTTTAAATGAACTTACGATAGTTTGAGTGTTACTCAGTTGAAAGAGAAAGAAGATGAAACAGATGGAATGCATTTTGGTGGGAGTGTTTTCTTGCCAATTCTGAAAAAAAATATTCAAATTTACTAATGTACGGAATGGTTGCTTATAAGAAACAACACTTCCTACTGTTTGATAATTGCTTAAAACTTTTTCAAGTGTATACTATTTTAAGTATATTAGCATTTAAAAGAGATCGGCACGAATTCATTGTGCATATAATGCGAACATCTCTCACGTCAAATACAACAAGTTATTCATGTCGGAGACTGGTTACAAGTATTCCAAAGCAGAATTCGTGCAAACTTGCATAGTTATAAGTAATTTCAATAAAAAGACAATTTTGTTTGAAAAAGCGAGTGTTATCGTGAAGCTCTGAAATCTCTTGACATTAAACTTTGAAAAACGGCTGACATTATCTGTCGAAATAAATGAAATAGTGGCAGACAGTTTGATAGATACCACCCAATTACATCTGTTAGGTATTGGTCAGAGAACATATATATATTTGTTAATTTTGATGGGAGTGTCTA